AATGAATAGTATTTGTTTCTGTTCTCAAATCTCAAAATATAAAAGGCAACCTCCTATCAATGACTTACTTAAGCTGCTGTTGAAATTATCTTTTCAGGAGTTGAAATGGTTCTTCAATAAGACACGAGGTGCTTGCAAGTCGTTTTGGTATGGCGGATGTAAATCGAAAGCGAGGAACTTTTTTGGTGATATTAAGGTGAATCTGAAAACTGAAAGAACAACTTTTAGTGATTTTTAATTTTGAATGGTCCATTCTTGAGCAAAGAGAAAGCTCTTATGAGGCACTGTTTAGAGCTGTCAAACAACATGCGGTCACAAATATCCAGTTACGGAGGAACCATATCCTCTGAATTTACCTTATCTCCGGAATCCATCGATCGCATTGAGAAGCTCGCTAGCCCCTTCTTCAACGAAGCCGTCTACGCTTGTGAACATCACTACACTCACTACAGCTGCTGAATCACTGGGCTCCTCGATGACAACTGCGGAACCTGTGCCTTTTAAACTCACCACAAGCTTTGTTAGGAACGTCGATACCGCCCCGTTAACAGAAATCAAAACAACAACGGAGGAGAGGCATGGTTTCGAGCAATCCTCGCTGGCCCTTTCTCCAGAGCAAGCAATTATGGACATCTGTGACCAGGGCTACGATCCGAAGTGGGACGAGGTGAGCTACTGTCTCCATAAATTGCATAAAGCAATCGGAAGCAAACTATCATGAAGAAGCTGTTCCTTATGATCTTTTCTTTTGAAGTTGAAGTTTGACTGGATTTCTTCGTGCAAAGCCCTCGTTTGTAAGTCGTATGGTACCTCGTGTTCCCAGGGCAAACTCTCTGGTGAATCGTGGGCAACCAATTCTGTGCAAACATGGTTAAGGAGCCTTATTACATGAAGATTTTTCAATGCATGAGTACAACACCTTTGAACTTTCCACCCAAACAGACCTTTTATCTAACCATAAGGGAGATAAAGATTGGGCCTTGTAGGGGAAATTTAGCCTCATTTTTTGTAACCAAAAAAGTGGCATGCCTTATGTGTAACCCAAAATCGGATTGAATATACCAATTTTGTGAGTTCATACCATAAGTATGCTATGGAAAAAGAGTGTATTTGGATGAGCCTCAGATAGAAACTTTTTTACAGCGATATATTCATTAATAAGCTTTTAGGCATGGTCATAGGAGCCTGAATCATTGAAGTTGGGATACTCACAGCTCATCATTCTAAAAGTTCGGGCGTTTTCAAGTCGAACAATTAGGAGCCTGAATCATTGAAGTTGGGATACTCACAGCTCATCATTCTAAAAGTTCGGGCGTTTTCAAGTCGAACAATTTCAATCAGTCTGCGGTGGTATGTGATCTGCGTTCGGCTTCCGACTAAGAATCGTCCCGGCGTTTTGAATGCGTATGGCCGTATGCGGAGCTGGCCTATGCAGCGACTTGCCGATGTACAATTCAGTAATTCCATCCTCTTAAGCCGATTAGGTAGCAGTTACCCTTGAGCTTTGCGACCCAGAGTTCGATCCATAG